TTATTTTTAATTTTTAACTCTAATAAAATATTCAGATTTTTCTTTTTATGAATTTTTTATCTTTAGGGGGCTTACCTCCTTTCTTAGGATTTCTTCCAAAATGACTAACTATCAATGGTTTAATTAATAGAAATTTTTTTAGTTTAAGAATTATTTTAATTGTTTTTACATTAGTCACATTATTTTTTTATATACGATTAACTTTTTCAGCATTTCTTTTAATTAAAACAGAAATACTCTTAAATTTTATTTTTCTATAAAATTTTGAATAATTTTTTTAATGTATTAGCTTTAACTGGGTTAATTTATTGTACAATAATGATTAATTTTTAAATTTTAATATTTTAGTAAATAAAATTAAATTTTGAGCAATTTACTCTCTCTCGCTTACTAAAAATTATTTTGAATTAAAAATAAGGACGTGTAAAATTTAACTTTGAAGGACTAAAGGATTTAAGTTAAAATTAAACTTTTAACCTTCAAAGTTAAATATAGAATAGAAATTTCTAAGCCTTAATTGGCTAGAAGTTTTAAAATTAATATCTGTTAAGCTTAAAAGTTTAACTTTACCATTAAATTTGCAATTTAATATCATTTTTGAATATAAAGCTTAGTAAGAGAAATATTTCATTTCGTTCATAAATTTACAATTTATTGCCTATGCTCAGCCATCTTACTGAATAAATGATTATTCTCTACGAATCATAAAGATATTGGAACTTTATATTTCCTATTTGGAGCTTGAGCTGGAATAGCTGGAACTTCACTTAGAATCTTAATTCGAGCCGAATTAGGAAACCCGGGCTCTCTAATTGGAAATGACCAAATTTATAATGTGATTGTTACTGCACAACGCATTTCTTATAATTTTTTTTATAGTTATACCTATTATAATTGGGGGATTCGGAAATTGATTAGTACCTTTAATACTGGGGGCACCAGATATAGCTTTCCCCGAATAAATAATATAAGATTTTGACTTTTACCTAACCCCATCATAAGATTCCTCATATTAAGAAGTTTAGTAGAAGAGGAGCCGGGACAGGTTGAACTGTCTACCCCCCTTTAGCAAGTAATATTGCCCATAGAGGATCTTCCGTTGATTTAGCAATTTTTAGACTACATTTAGCCGGAATTTCTTCTATTTTAGGAGCAGTTAATTTTATTACACTATTATAAATATGCGACCAAATGGTATAAGGATAGATCGAATGCCTTTATTTTCTTGAGCAGTTATAATTACAGCTATTCTTTTGCTTCTTTCTCTACCAGTACTAGCAGGGGCAATTACTATACTTCTTACTGATCGAAACTTAAATACATCCTTTTTTTGACCCTGCGGGAGGGGGGGATCCTATTTTATACCAACACTTATTTTGATTTTTTGGCCACCCTGAAGTTTATATTTTAATTCTCCCTGGATTCGGAATAATTTCTCATATTATTAGACAAGAAAGGGGGAAAAAAGAAGCTTTTTGGAACCTTAGGAATAATTTATGCCATGATAGCTATCGGATTATTAGGATTCGTAGTTTGAGCTCACCATATATTTACAGTAGGGATAGATGTAGATACCCGAGCTTACTTCACTTCAGCAACTATAATTATTGCGGTTCCAACTGGGATTAAAGTCTTTAGATGACTAGCCACCTTTCATGGAACTCAAATTTTAAATAGACCAGTAACCCTGTGAGCTTTAGGTTTTTGTATTTTTATTTACAGTAGGAGATTACAGGGGTAATTTTAGCTAATTCTTCAATTGATATTATTCTTCACGATACTTACTATGTAGTAGCTCATTTTCACTATGTTCTTTCTATAGGAGCTGTATTTGCAATTATAGCCGGAATTGTCCAATGATTCCCATTATTTACTGGACTAACCTTAAATAATTTTTTTTTAAAAACCCAATTTATTACTATATTTTTAGGTGTAAATTTAACATTTTTTCCTCAACACTTTTTAGGGCTAAGAGGAATGCCTCGGCGATATTCGGATTATCCAGATGCTTTCACTATCTGAAATGCCATTTCATCTATTGGTTCCATTATTTCTCTCACAAGAATTATCTTTTTTTTATTTATCTTATGAGAAAGGCTTTCTTCCCAACGTAAATCTTTGAGAACTTTAAATGTAACAACTTCAATTGAATGGTTACAAGCCCTACCCCCTAGTGAGCATAGATATTCTGAATTACCTATATTAACAAATTTCTAATATGGCAGAGTAGTGCATTGGATTTAAACCCCAAATATAAAGTTTAAACTTTTTTTAGAAATTTTAACATGAAAAACACTACTTTTACAAGATAGGGCCTCACCTCTTATAGAACAATTATCTTTTTTTCACGACCATACATTAATAATTTTAGTAATTATTACAGTTTTAGTAGGACAGCTAATAATTATACTATTTTTTAATCAATTTATTCACCGTTATCTTCTTGAAGGCCAAATCATTGAAATTATTTGAACTATTTTACCTGCTATTACTTTAATTTTTATCGCAATCCCCTCATTACGTCTAATTTACATCCTTGATGAAATTAATAACCCAATAATTACTATCAAAACTATCGGACATCAATGATACTGATCCTACGAATACACTGATTTTAAAAATATTGAATTTGATTCTTATATAATCCCTATAAATGAAATAAAAAACTTTAACTTCCGACTATTAGACGTCGATAACCGAATTGTTATCCCATACGAATCTCAAATTCGTATACTTATTACAGCTGCTGACGTTATTCACTCTTGAACTATCCCCTCTCTAGGTGTTAAAATTGATGCTACACCCGGCCGTTTAAACCAGATTAGATTTTCTATTAAT